TAATGAAAACTCTTATCATGTTTTGGGTGTTCTCTAACACCAATAAAATTGTTTTATTGGCTAAAAACAAAGATAAACAAGCCTAAATTTACCTTTGAAAGATCTTCTTGTCAGCCGAACTTCCTTCACAAACGGTCCGCCATTGTTGACAGGCAGAGTAGTGCTCATRCCCGTTTCAACGCCCTCCCTCCTCCCGCCCTGCAACTAGCTTCCAGACCTAGCGCGTTCATCGATCGCAAGCTGATCGAAATCAATCTTCTCCTGAGTGCTTCTAGCGTTCCCTTTCGTATGCAAATCGCAAAGACCTAAATGACTTTTAACTGCGATGGCTGCTTGTCAACTTAAACATTGCGCTTGATATCAAAAACAAATGACTAGACAAGCGAAACAAATGACTAGACATAGAACACAAGGGTCTTGGTGTAATGAAAATCAACTTGATGTATAAAAAGTACTGCTTGATCATGAAAAAATGCAACTTGAAGTTTTGTCACGTTTGGGCTAGCATATGAGACTGTAACCAGTAAACGATTCGCAAGTCCATGAACAGTTATCAAGCGGTTGAACGTGTAAAATGAATTTACCCATAATCCTTGTCGGCCTCAGCTTTATAGCTTGTCAGGTGACTAACTTTATTGAAATAAGTGTATGTAATTTGGAGTCTAGCACAAGTTGTTGTACGTACCATGCCACGACAGATTCAGTACTATAGCTAATTGAGACATGTCAAAAAAAATTCCAAAGAAAATATATATGTCCAATAAGGCTCGCCATACATGTGATGGCCGTCGATACACATATGATTTTGTTCCATTTCATTCTCTTCTATTTCATTTTATTCTATTCCATTTATTCTATTCCATTCCGGTGTATGGAGAGAGGGCCTAGGGAGGGAGGGAGGGAGGCTGGATTTAGCGCTACGTGGCATGCGCATGCGCACATGACATCAGCCAAACAAGATGGCGGAAAGTGAAGGTTGTTTTTCCAGAATGGTGAGTTATTATTTATAAACCTTTCCTCCTTTCTGGTACTTACAGAAAGCGTATTTCAAACGTAGTGAAATTCCTTAATCCAGAAATTTTCTTCCAATTCAGGGAATCTTTATGAAAATATTATATATTTGCTTAATATGGCTGTTGATGTGTCAGTACTCAATGGCATTTTATCTACCCGGGATAGCTCCGATAGACTACGAAAAAGGCCAAAAATTAGAAGTCAAGGTATGTTATATGTGTTATTATGTTATTATGAGTTCTTATTACGTGTTATGGGGAATTTTGGATTATTGTTTTGATATTTTTGCTGTTCGTTTTAGGCCGTGAAGATGACTAGTGTCAAAACACAGCTTCCATATGAATACTACACCTTACCTTTCTGTAAACCACAAAAACTAGACTTTAAACCAGAGAATCTAGGTGAGATATGCATCTTCTTTCGTTCGAAAAACTTCTAAACCTAACCTTTTTTCGTGCGTACTTTTTATATTTATATATTTATATTTTTGAGCACCTTAACCATAGCATGTTTGAATGTGGCCTCAAATTTAGGTATTTAAGTATATTCTGTGTTGATGGTTCCTTGTTTTGGGTTTTTAGGAGAAGTTCTTCGAGGAGATAGAATCGTTAATACGCCATATGAGGTATCTAGACATATTTCGCCGTATTTAAAAGTGATGTAGCTAATTATGTCATAGAATGAACGCCTGACCTGGATAGGACTCGGACTTTGTGTCATTCTCATCTCATTCCCCAGTTATTCTCTGCCCATGCCTACTAATGACCCTTTGAAACCTTAGAATTTTAGCTATTGATTGGGAAAAATGCCTTGGTGAGAGGCAAGTTCTCTTGCATAGATTGGTTAGAATGCAATACTAGGAAACATTCCAGACTTATTTTACTGAAGGTGTTTATGGTTTTCTTAGTTTGACTATAATATTCTAAAACATACTTTTTTAAATTCAGGTTGCAATGAATGTGAATAAAAAATGCACAGTGCTGTGCGAGCCCATAGAACTAACGGATGAAATGGTGGATACCCTTACTAAAAGAATAGAAAAAGAGTACTTTATTCACATGTATGTAAATTTAAACTAACAATTACAAGTATAAAACTACTGTAGTACGGACTGGTCACAGGTAGAGATAATATACAGTAAAATCTCTATTAGCTATCATCCTCTATTYACAGTAGTTGCCAGTCGTCAAAGTTCCAAAGAATTTTTTGCAGTAATTTACACATATATCAAGCGGCAAACAACTTTTGCAGCCACATGACAAATTCTGCGAGGGTGCCTGCTTAATAAAGGATATGAGGTACTGCAAAAACTGCTTTGGCACTTTGATGACTGGCAACTAAAGAGAGGATGGCAGCTTGACAGTTGTATTGTATAAGAATGATATAGAAATGTAAAAAAATGTATAGAAAAAAAGATATCTATCTTTACTCAACTAAATTTTGGAACTCGAGACCCTTGTCAGAGGAAAAGGAATCAACATATGAATCTTTTTTCTACTGTAGTTTTATAAAACCTATATTTTACGACTATCACTCCATGTAAGTGGATCTCTTTTGCTCTTGTGATATTCAAAAACATCATGACCAAAACTGTAGAAGCTGTAAACAAACCCTTGTGACAGGGGTCAAAATATGTGTGCTTAATAATAATAATAAAGAGCTAATAATGGGATTGACAGTGGGTTCCAAAGAGTGGCTCTTCTTCCACTGGATTCAAATTGGAATTTAAAAGTCGGTTTTAGGAAAGGGAGGAAAACTGGAGAACCCRGAGAAAAACCCTCGAAGCACAGGAGAGAACCAACCAGCATCTCTAATCACAAATGATACCGAGACATCAAGATACCTTTGGGACTCAAACCCAGGTCTCCTTGGTGAGAGGCAAGCACTCCCACCACTACGCCACCCATAATTCAGTCAAGCGTCATGCAATACTGATATTTTTTCATATCATACAAATGTCTTTGTTTGAATTTGATGATTTTTCATTTCTTGTAGGGTTCTTGATAATCTTCCTGCTGCTACTAAGTTATATATATTGAATAATGGCGAGGTATATATTTTGTTTTGAATTTTTTGTATGGCTAAGTTAGTAAGTGCATTACTAATGAAACAAGAGGTCTTAAGGTCGATTCCTTATATTTTTACATACTTGCTTCATCTTCTTTCTGATATCAATAGTTTTTTTTAGTGTTTACAGCTGGTTTCATGTTTCTGCTACCTAACTGACTCCAGGCAACTGGAGTTTTGGCTTCCGTCATTCAAATTTATGATGAGCAGAGTGCATTCCTAATCATTCCAATCACAAGCCACAAACAATAGATATTACTGGGACTCAACAGCTATTTGCCCAAGGGAAACATTATGGGAAGTAGGTTGTTGAGGCGCTGGAATTTGATTGATGAAAGCCAAAATACCATACTGAAGGACAAAATACCGGACTAGTAGAAATATGAAATAGGTTATAAAAAACCTGTTTACAAGTAAACTTGTTAAAACATGATCTGCAAGTTTATCGAACTACTTAAAAAAATCATGCATAGTTCATAAGCCACTGGCTTTAAATGCTATTTAAATAGATTACTGATGGTGAGAGGGAATAAAGAGCCCACACACCATAAACTTTGTGGAAGACTCGCTACTACAGTTGCTAAGGGAACACCTTAATCTTTTGCAACAATACAAATGTATAACAATTTTATAAAAGATGTTTGAAGTTTTTGTAACATTTTTTGAATTACAGACTCATTATGACCATGGATACAGGCTCGGCTTTATCTTGGATGACAAGGTATGAAATATATAGAGATTGCATGTTAAGAGCTTGATATGGTTTTTATTGACACAAGTTTCCATATGATATCGTGAACAAGCGAGTGATATCATAATATGGAGAACAAGTGAATAAAAAAGATACCAGGCTCTTAAAATGCAATCATTTGTTTATTACACATTTAGGGGAGATAAAATGTCAAAATTTACTATTTCCAGTTCACTGTGAAGTGATATTGTATCATTTCACTGATATGGTTTTTATTCACGGCTTTATCACACAGATATCAATCCTAAAAGTGTAATAAAAGGCAAAATGTATAATTATCATAAAGTGCCAATAGAATATTATTATATAATTTGTACTGTTTGTGCTTCATTTTGGCATCAAAATAGTCACAATTACCAACAGTCATAAAAGTAAAGATTGGATTTGTAGGTTTGATAATCAGACACTTCAAAACACAACTTCAACAATACAATTAAATTTGTATGGAACACAAAATCAAGGCTGACTTTGAGCAAGAGAGAGCTTAAAACTAGAGTACAACACAGCCTTAGTGTTTGCCATGGTTAGGTTGGGACACCTATGGTTCGCAAGATGATAGAGCAAAGATTACCTCTAAAGAAATTCAAATAAATTTGTTTAAAATATTCAGTGTAATTATTGATGAAATATCTATTTTCTCTTATATTAAAAATAATCTTTACATGTGAAGATATTATGATGCCTTCACATGTGAAGTTAATACCTAGTGGTTATGTAATATCCTCTATCTCATACTCTCTATATTAGTATTAATCCAAGTTCTTCATGAATTGCAGAAAGTTCTTATCAACAATCATCTGAAAATGATCTTCAAATATCATACATATGATAAGTATGTACAATCTGTAATGTATTTTAAKGGGGGGGGAGGGGAGGGGACAGGAATTAGTTTAATGAATCAAAAAAATATTTATTCATTTATAATACACTTGACAAAATTACTCAATTCTGATTGGACAAGAGGAGTACAATTAAATCCTAAATTGTACCCTGTAGAGTCTCAATTAAGTTTCTCAATTTTTTTGAGTGTATTATAAACAAACATCCCACAATCTTCTTGCACAATTCAGAATTTATAGGTACTTGTGATGTCTTGAAATTTCTCATATTGGACTCGTCTAAAGGCTCATCCAATTTGAAAACTTTCAAAACTACTATAAATTCCAAATTGTACCCAAAATCCTGCGGTCTTATTCTAATCAATTCAAGATAATCAATTTAAAATAATTAATCAATTAAAACGACTTTTTAACATGTACATTCAATTCATGTATTTTATTTCAACAAAACTACTGTATTTCAACCTGTGACTGCAAAAAAACTTCAATTATTATTTCCTCGTAGTCATAGTATAATAATTTTCCCTCAGTTTTCCAATATAAATTTTATTTTTTCAACATGTGTTATCATATGAAAATGTACCTTGTATCTTAACTTGGGAGTAATGTACATTGTGAAGAAGTCACAAATATATTTTATTGGTTTGTACAGTTATTACTGTAACTGGACTACCAAAAAGAAAACAGTTTTATTCATCATTAAGCTTCATAATCACTTGTACCAAGGTTTGCATCATTCATTTATTTTAATTTCTTTTTCAATTCTAGCATAACTTATAGAGTTGTTGGTTTTGAAGTGCAACCAAGAAGGTAATTATTAAATAATGTGGGTGGGGGGGGGGGGG